CTACATTTGATATTCTAATTGATTAATTGACTAAAAATAAAAAAGAATAATTGGCTGAAAATGAATCCGATATCACTAATTTATTGAAAATATAAAAGGATAACTAATCGAGTAATATTCTACCATTATATATTTTAATCCAAGTAATCCGTCCTGATGGATTGAAGGTGTTAGCTCTAGACGAAGATGAATAGGATTGTGTTGTCACTACCAATGTCGTCTACAAAGAGGTTTCAATAATGTGTAAATATAACCGGTGATATTAAGTTTTTTTTTAAATGAAAAAATTGTTATATATCTGGACAAAAAAATATATCTTCCATACAAATGAATGAGGATACCAATTCATTTCTATAACTGAGTTGTTAGAGAACGAGCACATTTTACTAATTTATGAAAATTCTAAACAATGATAAATAAAATCTTCAAAGTTATAGCACCTATGCGTACATCTAGACATTAGCTATTAATTTGAGCAATTATTTGCACAAATTCAAGCAATGATACCATCAAAATATATAAACGATCCAAACCATATATTTAATTGCACTATATAATATTTGATGTTCTAATTTAAATAATTATATATCGATTCATATATTCTTAATATATTACAACAAATCAATTCCGTGCATCGCACGGGTGCAAATACTAGTTATTAATAAATACCAACATCTGCTCAATTTATAACTTTTCAAGCAAGATTTATACCCAACAAGCCATGGCATATGGTGATACTCATTAAGAATTTCATTTTTTTCAAAAAGTAGCCGCATTTTTTGTTGTACATCAAGAAAGAAAAAGAGAAAACAAAAAATCAAAAGAATATATATATATATATACAAATCTAGGAAGAATTACATCCTTTCATAAAAATAAAAAAAAATAAAAAAAGGAATAAAGGTCAAATAGACCATCGAACTGCACAGGATAATGCAATTAGGCCACTGAACTTAAAAAACCTATAATTAGGTCCCTAAACTAACCAAATTCATGCAATTCTTCCAATTTGCAGGTTTCCAACAGGTCATCCCAAATTAAATTATTTTTTAAAAAATAAATTTTACAAATAATTATTTAAAATTGAAATTAAAAAAAAAAAAAAAAAAAAAAAAACCAGATCTTTCGGCCGGAGATTCGTCCGGCCGGAGATTCGTCTCTATGGCCGGAGACGAAGCTTTGTTTAGACGGAGACGAATAAACTCTTCGTCTCCGGCCATGGAGACGAAGAAACTGGCCGGAGACGGTTTCTTTGTCTCCGGTCGGAAGTTTTGTTTTTTTTCTTTTTTTTTTTTAAATAATTTTAAATAATTATTTTTTAAAATTTATTTGTTAAAAAATAATTTATTTTAAGATGACCTGTTGGAAACCTGCAGATTGGAAGAATTGCATGAATTTGGTTAATTTAGGGACCTAATTGTTGGTTTTTTAGGTTTAGTGGCCTAATTGTATTATCGTGTGCAGTTCGATGACCTATTTGACTCTTATTCCAAAAAAAAACAACACATCCACAATATCATTAAAAAGTAACCTGTTTAAACATTTTGAAAGGCTTGTATCATTTAAAAACTTGCATAAATGTGAGCATTTTGTTTTGTGACTAGGAAAATCCGTCGTCACTACAAGAGAGTATGCATCATTAGGTAACTCCCATTTTGTGATCATAGATATCAAATGATCACAATGAGATAAATTAATATAGATTGTCTATACCGGATCAATCCAAACCAAAAATTAAAGTTTAATAAGTTGCTCCCACCGGAAGTGTGAGCATATTTGTTCACTTACATAAGTGCATATTTAGTTGTATTTGTTTAATTAGTTGTATTTAAATCGAAATCCTTCTTAGAGCTCCCATTTGGGTTTTTTGTTGGTTTTTGTCAGAAAAAACAAATCTTGCATTGGGTTTTGACAACTGAAGAAGAGCGTGACTTTTTATTGATTTTTTCTCAACAAATCAAGGATCTTTGTGCATGGTCCCAATCAAAAGCCAAATGAGGCATTCTCCACACAGTTCACTGTCAACCTTTTCTTCTTTCTTACACATGTGGCATGACAAAAACCACTAAAAATTTGCTATTATTGAGGATGCTCTTATGAAAGTTTAGTTTTTTTTTTTTTTTTTTTTTGGTACGACTTATGAAAGCTTACCAAGCAAAGAAAATTACATATAATCGTGGCAATATCACACCCGCAATCTACTACCAACATCAAGCAATTCACCTTTGCCGGCAATCAAAGACATGCAAATCAAGTGACAATTTTCCGAAAAGTCTTTTGGGATAAAAGAGCAAAGTACATATAATTCATGGATCAAACAAGCTTACATTGATCAGATCCACACATCTTCATCACCAATCAGATGGGCTGGGAAGCGGCTCAATATGATCAAACATATCGATCGGAAAGTCATCAATGAAGCTATCCGGAGTTAGGGTTCCGGCCTCTTTCTTCACACCATCCTCCCGCCGGAAACTTCCCTCCGGCGCACCCCACGGCGACGGGAATGGAAGCTGCGGCATACCATTTCCCATCCCAGAAGCATCACAAGCACCAGAACTTCCGAACATATCCAACAAGCTCGGATCCCATAATGGTCCTAGGTTGTCGTTGAAACCATCCTGCGGCAGGCTTTCTATGGCCGGCGGCAGAGCAATGCCGTCGTCCGTCAGAAGCTGTGGAAATTCCGGGAAGGAAAGAAGGTGCGGATGAAACAGATTAACAGGCTCGAAAATGAACGGGTTCGGAATATTCTCCGGCGGCATTGCCGGAACAACGTTGCAGGCCTCCTCGGATTTTCCGACCACGTTCGACGATGATGAACAAGATTGTGGCTTTGACACTAACATCCCTTCTTGTTCATCATCTATTGAGCTCAACTTCTGTGCCTGAAATAATGTAAATTACATACAAAAATATATACAAACATCCATGGATCCTAGCAAGCTACCATATGTTGCATGGAAAATTCAGCACAACTCTAACCAAGTTGATCTGGCCGATCACAAAATTATAACTTCAGAAGCCACTTATTAACCTTATTAATTTGAGCCCGTTAGCTATAACAACCCAACTGATTAACTTTGAGTCACAAAATAGAATTTATTGATTTTATTAGTTCTAGCATGTCAACTATTACAACCTAGACTGATTAACTGTGGGTCACAAAACAATTTACCTTGTTACTATACCCAAAAGATTGAAAATCAAGATCGAGTTCAAAATATATAAAGTGCAAGAAAATTCATGAAGGGCAATGCAAATGTTCTTATTACGTACCTCTAGGGATGAAGCCTGATGAAAAGCTGGGGGTTCCTCGACGGCGACGGAGTTTTTTTCCGGCGACATGTTAGACTGCGACGATGAAGCTGCGGAATTATGGTTATTATTGTGGAGAATCCTGGCCAGCCTCTTGCGCCTGCTACTCCAGAAATTCTTGACATCGTTGTCGGTTCTTCCCGGCAAATACGTCGCGATTCTCGCCCATTTGTTCCCAAACTCCGCCTGCAGATCGATCACTACCCTCTCCTCCTCCGCAGAAAACTTCACCCCACTGTCGAAGAACCAAAAGACCGGTAAACTATGAACAACTTAAACTGATTTAAGGTCACAAGTCCAGATTTATCAGACCAGTAAACTATGAACAACTTAGACTGATTTATGGTCGAGAGTTATCAAACTGGTAAGCTATGAACAACTTAGACTGATTTATGGTCGAGATTTATCGGACTCGTAAGCTATGAACAACTTAGACTGATTTAAGGTCACAAGGCGAAATTTATCACTGGTCGGTCACCAGAAAAGTGGAAACTAAAACAGATATAAAAACAAGAAATGGAAGGCAATGTATGTACGAGGATGATATGAAGATGGAGTTTGTACGTACTTCTTGAGGTTTGGTCGGAGTTTGTTGACCCACCGGAGACGGCAGGATTTGCCGCTGCGTTGCAGGAGGCCTTTGGACTGAATGGAGCTCCAGTCTCTGGGGCCGTACTTCTTGACATGGTTGAGAAGAACTTCGTCTTCCTCCACTTTCCACGGCCCTTTCTTCATCTCCGTTAACTCGCCGGAATCTCCATTGCTGTGATGATGATGATGGTGGTGGTGGGTATAACTGCACGTATATGAACTTCTTCTTCCCTTCATGCAATTGATGTCTTTAACTTTGTTTCTTTTTTTGTGTTTATTACTCTGATCTTTAGCTTTGTGGGGTTTGAGGGTACGTGGTGACGGTTATTTTTTAAGCGGTTATTTTGCCATTATCCTTTTTACTTTTCGTTGTTGCTTTTCAAATTTGTTTGTTTATTTTTCTTTTTACACATAGAAAGAAAATTTTGGAATTGATGATAAAACTAGGGCTGGGCAAATCGGTTCGGGTGACCGAACCGGCTCGGTTCGGTTTCTAACCGAAAGACCGATCAGTCCTAGTTTAGGTGAAACTGCTAACCCGATCGGTTTTCTGTTTTTTTTTTTTATATTAATAGATATATATTATATTAAATATTTAAGGTGAGGTTTGAACCCTTACTCATTTGATTATAAACTAAGATCTTTACCCACTAAGCTATACCCACATTCATGTTTATATTCACATTTGTATGCTAATAAGGGTATACATTTTTCATTAAATATTGCACACTTCAAATATAATGAATAAAATTATCCGTACTACATTCTTGTTAGACTAAAATATCATTATACCGTTATTATACCATTGCTATTTAATTCTAAAGTTTCATAATTCTATCATTATTATCACACACACACACACACACACACACACACACACACACACACACACACACACATATATATATATATATATATATATATATATATATATATATATATATAAATAAATAAATAATTAACTATGATACCTGTTTCCTATTCTTTAATTATCATTTTATTAAAATCATTATATAATTACTTTAATTGTTGATTATATTTTAATTAAATTTCTATGTATATAAATATTATAACAATTAATAATTTTAACTCTTCAAGTCCTCAAATCTCAACTCCAAGTTGTAAGTCCAAACATTTGGTGTTTTAGTAATTTTTATTTTTCAAATATTAACTATAGATGAATGATTTTTCATTTTGTCATCAACAAAACACTTCAAGTGAGCCAACTGAACAACCGGTCAGGCAAAAAAAGAAACGTTCAAATAGTAGACTTTCACCTAAACCGAAACCGAACCAATCCGAACTTTTCAAATCGAAACCGAACTCTATTTTAAACCGAATGGTTTAATTTTTTTAAAACCGAAAAATCGAAACCGAAACCGAAACCGAAAAAAACCGAACCGAAACCCGAAGTGCCCAACCTTAGATAAAACTTTGGGAATAGGGTTTATTTTAAATGAGTAATATAATGATATAATGATTTATTTAAATAATATGAATTAAAATTTAGGAACATTGTTTTTAAATAATTAAAATCTTGACATATAATATAAACAATGTGGGATGGTTTTGTTGGAATCAGATTCACCATAAATCGATATAGAGATACAAAATCGGATAGGAAAATAATAATTTTATTGCTCGGGCAATTTTTATTGTGTGGACCATGGTCTACATAGTTCTGTGAATCATACTTTCAAATAATGTGCATTTAATATACTAATAATGTACATTATATTCAGTGAAAGTACATTATTTTGTATAATATACATTCAGTGCATGAATAATGTACTTTTAATATGTTAAAATGTACTTTTTGTTATGGTCCACACAATAACTTTCGATTGCTCGGGGAGCTATGCTAAAATAGCACATACAAAGCTTGAGAATTGAGATGCTGACACAATGACGGCCAAATTTAATAAACTAAGAATAATATCGTAGCTACTAGAAATTGAACCTTGATGTATGGATTGAAGGTTAGGAACCCATACCACTTGATCGGGAATGAAGTTATCCAAGAGATGATGTCTCAAAGGGATGGAATGATGACTTATGTAATGCAGAGAGCCCTCATGATGGTTGACAAATGTATAGAGCCATACATGTGTTCCTCACTATCTGAATGTCAATGATCTCTACATGAATAAATAAAGTGTCATACGTTTTTGTATAGGATATCTTTAGTTATTTAAATGGTTGGTGATTAGGTAATGAAGGTCCCGGTTCAAACATTGTCAATTGACCTTTGTTAACCTTATGCTTCATATATTGAAAAAATAACATCATTTTGAACTAAAGTCCACTATATAATTTTCGTGCAATAACCATGTTGATGTTACGGGACACACGTGCATCGTCCCGGCGGCACGTGACCTTCAACCCAAAAACCCCTTGACCCTGGCGTGCGCCGAGGTTTTTATGACCCCAAAATTTATCCTTGGCTGTTCCTTGTTCTTCTGAGAAAAATTAGCTTAATAGCGTCTTCAAGGATTCGATCTTTTTTGCTCTTAATCAGCTCTTGTGATTTTGACTGGCTCGATCAAGATCAAAAATCTCAGCAAAGTGCACAGTGCGGGTGGGAAGATGCTGCAAAGTGTACGGAGAAGCAGGTTATCTATTAACAGATTCATATGTGCCTTAAAATCACACAATAACTCGAATGCTTTCTTCGAGAACGCGCCTACCAAGAGTGTTTCTGATGTGGGTATTTGTGGGTTTTCTTCTCTGGTATCGGAAAATGCTGCCGCGAATCCTTTTGTAAGGAGGGTATGTAAAATTCAGCGTTAATTTTCAGCCCATTGGCTCAGTTCCCCGCCCTGTAGAGATTTTTTGTTGTGTTTAGCTATTGGGATAATTGTGTCTCAGCTGCAAAACAATTACTGGGAATTCTTTATGTTGTTAAGAATCATGTTTTATAATGTGATTTACTTGCAGGAATTAGCAGAATCAGCTTATGCAAGCAAATCTTCTATCCTTGCTAATCCCATAGCTAGGGTAAGTTGTTTGCAAGGGCTTTTTCAGTGATTAATTAGCTTACTTTCTTGTTGCCTATTGATCATTCATTCAAATTTTTACAGGTTATGAACAAAGGTGATGGTTAGTAGCCAAAACTCATGTCTTCATGCTATGCAAATTGCAAACTCCATATAAGAATTTCATTTTTGGAATTATTGTTTACAAATTTTCTGTTGGGAATTTGCTACTTTAGATTGTTAAATTTGATGTGTTTCTTGTCTTTGAGCAACACCTTAAAAATAGAGTCTGCTTCCCTCTGATTTTGGTTTATTATTAAGTATGGATGCCTGCCTATATTTTCTGTTGTTAAGTTTTCACTTGTGGGTTGAAAAGTTTGGTGGCATTACTTTCAAATTCATGCCGAGTGTGATGTTCTGCAGGACTTCCTTTACTATTCAGAGACCGTCCAAATATGAAACACGTAACGACTTTTCAGGCACCATTTCAGGTTGCCAATATCAATGGTATAAAATTCAAGATGCCTTGCTTTGCTAGAACATTTGCATCAAAGGCTTCTGAATCAACTGGACAAAAGCGATCAGAGGTTTGCCTTTGTCTCTAGAACCATAGATGTAATGATTGCTCTCTACTTGAACTTTAGTAGAATACAAGACGCCTTAGTTTTGCATTTACTATGCCTTCCGAAGTTGAGAAATTTGATAATGTTTTATAGTAATAACCTTTGAGTTTTCACGTCTCCAATTTGTAATGATTCTCTTGAAAATGTTTGTGGTGAATTTTTAAAAGCTACTGCTGTTGCGTTCTTCTGGAATTTCTATAATAATCTCTCTCTTTTATTTTTTTTTTTAATTGTAAACAAAAAATACAACTTGAAAAACATAACTACTAAGATCGCATGTACTGACAAGCTACAGAGATATGATTTCATGTAGTTAGGATTTTTCCATTTTAAGTCTGATTTATTTAGGAAACTTATTAAGCCCCTGTTGTATAGGTTTCTACTCCATATATCACTAATAATCTTTACTGCCAAAGAATATCTAATATCCTGCTCTCGAGCATGCATCTCTATATTATTTGATTCTCCACGAAGAACCAATCTGCTGATGACATTAATGTCCCATCCTTGGTGCACATGTTCAGAATGCACAATTCCATTTGTTTTATGCGGAGCTTTCCATTATGAGCTCCAAATCTTATGTCTTCGAGAACTTGCAGTGGCAGATTTTTTGTTTGATTCTTTTATTCATTTACTTATTTATTTATTTTGGTCTTCTGCACTATCACATAGATAAGCCATTTTCCTCGAGACATCAAGAAAGTATAGGTAAACCATAAAAAGGAGACAGAGGGATCGGCATTTATTCAAATGTGGGAAGTAGCCAAATGTCCTTCCGTCTCCTTATAAGTTGAAAACCATTTATGTGGCATCTGTCAAAACCAATATAGAGGTTTTGTTGCCAATAGCTTTGTATGTGATATAGTTTCTTTGCTCATAAAGAAAGGTGATATTTCTAGATGTAGTGTTTAGATGCACTTTTTTTTTTTTTTTTTTTTAATATTTTTTTATAATCTTGTTCTTCCTTATACAGGGCCGAAAAGAGGTATCTACCGTTGATGATCCCTTTGATGCTCCCACATATAATATCCCGGAGAAGCCTGTGACATTTACAGAAGGGGCTTCCTACAGTGTTGTCATTCTTGCGGGGTTAGGAGTTGCTGCCGCTGCTGCATATGCTGTTTTTAAGGAACTTATATTTGAGCCAAAAGAGTAAGGATTTATTCCTGCACTCTATGTATAGAGGACTTTGTTCCTTTTCCATTACTGGGTTTAAGATAATTTTTATATTCTCTAGGTACAAAATTTTTGGGAAGGCTCTCGATAGGATTCAACATGACAGCCAGGTATGCTCTTTACCATGAATTTTACAGTTTTATGGCATATCCTTGGTTGATTGCATCTAGGTGTTTGGTCTTACTAGATTTTCAAGGTTGTGTTTCTCAAGTTTATAGATTACAAATGAACATTGCATAGGAACATTTATTTGCTTTTATAAATGCCATATCCTTGATTTGATAGCATCTGGGCATTTGTTCTTTACAATTATTTAAGTTTGTGTTTGTCGATTACAAGTGAAAATTGTTTATGGGAGTACAACATTTTCCTCACTACCCATTAAAATAAAAAATTTACATATCCAAAACAAATATAAGGGTTTGATATGCAGCTCAAAGTTGTAATTGGATTGGCTTAAGCTTGGTACAATGAGATTATTACTTGAAATTAAGAAGCCATTTGTAACAGGTTAGGGTGAGAATTGGATCCCCTATTACTGGGTATGGATCAGAAAGTAGGAACCGTGCAGCTCGCCAACGCATTCCAAACAGAATATGGACTGATGAGGATGGGGTTGAACACGTTGAGGTACTACATTCACGCTTTCTTCTGAGATTTTTTACTCCAGGACTATGTGGTCTAATGGTACCCGGGTTGGACTTCCATTTGGAAGGTTGTGAGTTCGAGCCTCAGTGGAGGCGTTATTGGCTCTTTGTAATAGAGCTAGCAGCATTCAAAAAACATGATGCCTTCCCCGTTTGTCACTCATAATTTGACAAGCTGGGAGAGGTGGACAATATTATGAGAGATCGGGCACTTAAAAACTTTTCATAATCACGATTTTATTGTTGTATTAATATGGAACTTCTTGACAGTTTAAATCTTGAAACTCAACACAGGTCAATTTCTATATTCGGGGACCACATGGAGCTGGCAAAGTTTTTGCAGAGATGTTCCAAGACAAAGAAGAGAAGCAGTGGAAGTTCACCTATTTGATCGTTCAGATCAACTCACCTTCCCCGGCACAACTGATGCTCGAGTCTTATGTCCCAGCCTGAATAAAAACCGCTAAATGTCTTGCTGCATTCTGTCTCTGACACCCTTCAATCACACAAATAGTTCTCCAATTTTTTACTTACCAAGATGTGATCAAGGACAAATTCTTGAATGGGGTGTGTTTTCTGATTTTGATGGGATGCAACAATTGGTATCAACCCCACAGTCTGCTGTTATTCATTTTTCATGCCAGCCATGGTGTTGAAATAGGCATGCTGTCACCTTACATCTTTGTTTTTTGATATTTTCAAAGCTCATGTAATGCATGGTGCATTGACAATGGGATAGGAGTTTATTCTTACATGTTTCTTGATATAAAATGCAATGCAACTTGAAGTTAAGCTATTGCATTTCAATGTTTGGTACAATATACTCTGCCAATAATGGTATCTTACCAATCATAATGAACAAATGACCTATATTTCAAGGGACAACCTCAACCAAGTTAGTTCGGTTGTTGGAAAACCAACAGGTTCCAAGTTGATTTTCATTGAGAGCAGCATATTGGCGCTATAGACAACTTAGGTTGATTTATCTCTTTATCTGGTGTACATCTCTTGGGGAGTGGCTATGGGTTTTCTTGGTCATCCAAATTACTTAAGTATTATGGGAAACAATTGCAAGCAAATATTGCCAACAATCAATGAAAAATATAAGGTGGGAAACCTTTATTAACACCATTACTTGTATTGTATAGTCATAAACATAAGTAACTATAAATCTATCATCAGCTAGACTTGCAATCAACCTTCTCTTCCAAGATACCATCTTCCTAATGAAATGCAGAGTACTCAGTTTATCCCTAATTATACAGAAATTGGTCCTCATAATGACCACAGAAATTATCAACTCAAATATCTAGTAATCTAGTTATCTTGTGCCCTTGGAGGTATCCCAATTCCAGTTCTTATGCTTGCACCCACTGTCTTCATATCTTCAACCTATGAAACACACCATCAATCAATAGTTCAATACACCACTAGAGTAGAAGAATGTCAGTTGATGCAGAAGATATGAACAAAAGCATGAAAAGATCAGACGTTGCATAGAGTGCCCCTGAATCATAACATCTACAAAAAATTGCAGCCCATCTAAAGCTATGGAACAAAGAAACATCTATACACATATCAAAACAAAGGGAAAAAATGGATTTCACAATGAAGCATACAAGGATTTCAAGAAGGATAACACAATGTTTATTTCCCTAGATTTTAGATAATAAATATAACATATTTCTTGTGGACTGAAGACAGTATTCATCTCACGTTGAGAATCAAGGTCAAATAGTTTAATTCCATTGTATGATATCAATCACAACAGCAAAATCAGTGATCTACAAGCTTAATCATCTCTGTTTGCTGTAAATTACAGGAATCCTACATTCCTACTATCAATTACAGTCTACCCAGTCCATGAATCTAATGGTGAGTGTGTTTATGTCAGTAAAGTCATCCTGTCTTGGCACAAAGATTATACAGAAGATTAATAATAGTATTCTACTTCTTTTATCACTTCAAAATTTCTTCTATCTTTGTCCATTCTCCATCTCTGATTGATATTTTTAACAAAAAAAACAAAGTTTGAGTGAGAGAGAGAGTTACAGAATGGATGCCAGAGGCGAGAAGCGATGCGACGGCGGCGGAAGCGGTGGCGCCGACGAAGAGTGAGGCAACGAAAAAAGCTTTGGCTGGCATGAGATTAGAACTGCCGGCATAGCCTTTTCTCAAAGCGGAGATTCCCCACCCTAGTTGGCCGGTACTCGCAGCCGCCCACCACCAGTACTCGGCGTTTCCCCCGTCTCCCTCCCCCTTTTCCATCTTCCCATCTTTGTGTTTCCGGTTAGGCCCTTTTGCAGTTCTTAACTCTTTATGGGCCGGGTCAATGTCCGATAACTAGTTGGACTCTTTCTTGTTTTGGGTAATGAGATAAACGCCGCTTTGTGATCCTAGCCAACAAATGACTATTAGGAGGTAAATTAGTCTAGGTTATCCATGGTTGACGGTCTTAAATCAAGAGGGTAAGGATTGAATTCGCAACCTTGTGATTACAAATTTATATTCTTTTTAATTCTAAATGGCCGGTGTTAGATGGAATGGGAGGAAAAGAGCAATCCATTGACTGTCCGAGGCGTGTGGTCGATCGTCTGAGCTAAGCAGCGATCGCCCAAGAAATGCAACAACAGAAGTGTATATTGTAAAATAAAACTACGTATTAGTTGTTCACTCTAGTCTCTAAAGTATGATTCGAGGCAAAAAAAAAAAAAGATATTTTACTATCCAACGTCTCGTTAGGGCATTCCCAATAAGGGGATTTTGTATAAATTTTGAGGGAAAAATGACAAGGTGGAGGAGAGAGGAGAGAGAGGGGAAGAGTTGTCCTGCAAAAAATGAGGATTTTGTAGGTGAGTGGGTCCCACCAAGGAGAAGGAGCGTGAGGCGCAACTGTCGCACCCACCTGCCTGAGAGCGTAATTTTTTTTTTTTTTCAATTTTTTTTTTCTCCCTTCCATTTTCTCTTTCATAATCAAACTTGCAAAATCTCTTCAAAATCTTCACATTATTGAGGATGCCCTTAGTCATTTCCTTAATATTCCTGTTCAATTTATATGGACTTGGGACGAAAAATCATCGATAACCGTGACACAAATTATATTGTTGAAACGTGTTCACCATGCGCATGGTGAACACAGGGGTAGATTCATAATTTATATGTTGTAGAAATTATGAATTTACAGTATAGAAATTATGAATCTACAATATCGATGTTATGAATCTACAATATAGAAATTATGAATCTATCCCGTGTTCACCATGCACATGGTGAACACGGTTCCACAACCTAACTATTGATAACCGTGACTAATGGGCTATCTCTATGATATGGGCTGGGCTCGTTATAATTTGGGCCATCGTCTTTCCTTTAGATTTCATCAGCCCATTATAAAGTAACGGCTTTCTCCCTCAAGAATGGCAAATTATATTATGCACCGCGCGTCTTTTTTTTAAATGAAAATTAACAGTGTTTGTTTTCGCCGTTTCGCACCCTTTTGCAAAATGTAACTCTGTTATTCAGTGTCATTTTGTATACACTGCAGTTTCAGTTGAACACAACTACAGTTTCATTTCGATATAACTATAGTTTCATTCGATATTTATAGACTCAAATATGTGAAAATGTTATTTAATTTTATTTTATATACACTATAATTTCATTAAAACACAACTACATGATCATTTTGATATAATTACAGCTTCATTGTACAATATACACTCAAATATGTGAAATGTTATTCAGTTTCAGTTTATATACACTGCAGTTTCATTTCACTATAACTACAGTATCATTTTGATATAACTGCAGTGTCGGTTTGGATATACTATAGTGTCAGTTAGTGTTTAATACACCAAACAAGCGGACTCCGTTAACTTAAAGAAACGACGTCGTTTTTGACCGTGGTGCACATGCACCGCGGTCTATAATATAACGACTCCTCAAGAATATGCTTTACGGCAAACCCGGCAAACCCGACCCGGTGGCAATACAGAGTATAAAGCAACAAAACGCCGGGTCGGCACTTTCCCCTCAAGCTCGCACCGCTCTCCACCAATGGCTCAGCAAGCTCAGCCAACCCAGACCAGCCTAAACCCTAACCCTCCGCCACCAGGAGCTCCATCGACGGAGGACGATCCGTACAAGTCCACAACCGCAAAGCGCCGCCGCGACGAGGATGCCTTTGAGGCGACGGATGAGGCGGGCACCTCGGCGGAGGTCGTGCCGCCGTTGAAAAAGCGCGTAAAGGTTTCCCAGGATATTGTGTACCGCATCATCGTCCCGTCGAAGCAGATCGGGAAGGTTATTGGTAAAGTGGGGCATCGAATCCAGAAGATTCGAGAGGAGACCAGGGCTACAATTAAGATAGCCGACGCCATATCTGTAAGTATGGAATTTTTGTTTTGTGTTAGTAATTGGTTTCTTGTTGCTATGGAAATCTTGGGAAGTGGAAGAAGCCTTGCTAAATAGTAGAAGAGAATTTTTGTGTAGAATTTGATCAATTTAGTTAAAAAGAGCTTAATTGGGTAAATTCAACTGCTGACATTGACAGTGAGAGTTAATTCATATGCGTTATATCACTTTTGTTTTTGAGAAACTGAGGCTGTTCTTATGATAAAAATATAGAATCCTGGTAACTAGATTGAAGCCATTTTCTAAAGACCTGAGCTGCTGCAATGGGTTCTTATGCTTTGCTAATTTACTTTTCTAGGTTCTAGCAGAGTCACTAGGAGCAAGTAAAATGAAATGGGATGTTGTTGTCTGTAACCTCTTGATTAGGGATCTTTTATGTAAATGGTTGTTTTTAATTGTTAAGAGAATCCACATTTCATGCCCTTTTGTTCAATTAGGTTTCTATACAACTTGTTGTCCAATTAATATGAAATTACTAAAAGGTGTTTTATGACTTTTATCTGCCTGCATTTTTGTGGATTAGTAGATGTGTTAGTGTGCTGTTAGGGTTTGCTGACCCATATACTCACCCATGTCTGTCCTTACCAAAAGTAATAGTAAAATGAAATACCTCATAATCGTATCTTCCATTGCATAGAGTATAATGGTCCAACAATATAAATAAGGTAGCATCGAAATGGGCAAGGGACATGATATACGAAAAAAACCAACTTTAAAAAATGTGACATGGAACGTATGGAAATGCAATGTTGTAAGAATCGCTACGCGCCCAACATTTAAAAAAAAGAATTCTTTAATATAAATATTATTTTCTTCCTTGTGAACTCAATCTTCAGTCTTCATTGAGAGGCAAGTGGTGAGATCGAGAACTCCTAGAGGCAAGCAAGACCAAGAACTACTAGAAGTGAGCGATGACACTGGAAAACTGAGTGTGAGATAAGAATTGAAAATTTTAAAAATCTCGGAAGATATTTTTCGCCAAAAATGGGTCATTTTTCCTTTGATCGGAATGAGTATTTTCTGTTGATAGCCAAACATTGGAAAATCCGAAAAGTGACTTTTGGAAGTCATTTTTTGGGTTTCCAAACAGACCCTTAATTCCTTACTAGTTCCATTATTAAAAGTAATATACTATAGAGGTATATAGTATAGACTATAAAAATATAAGGGTATACATGAGTTGGAGTAAGTAATAAGAACCCGAATTTCAATTTCTTTTAACCCCAAAAAATGTGTTCTTCAATTAGACCCTTAAACACATTTCTTTTTCATATTATGAAAACAGCCTCAAAACATTTTCTTGAAGTTTCCGGTTTGTTTCCAATGTGGAAACATGTTCAAAACACTTAAACTCTTCTACCTAAGAGGGCGTTTGGTAGCCAGGAAAGTGAACTTTCCTGGGATTTTAAAAGGTGGGAAAGTTATTCCCACAGTTGGTGCATTCTTTGACTAGAAAAGTTTGGGTCAATGGGAATCTAATTTCATGATATCAAAGAAAGTAAATCACTAAATCCCACTGAGGGGAGGTAGGATTCTTTTTCCCGGGCGACTAGGAATCTACCAAATTTATTCAAGTACGTATTTAAATTAAAAGTCTCTTATAAATATAAGAATTTTTTCTCTCCCACCATTACGAAGTATAACACTATTTATCAAAGAAAATTGTCTCTCTCAACACGGGTTACATACGTACTGTTTTGTATTTTGAATATTCTTGTTGTAGACTAGAATTTTTTGGCATATGGTTTATTAATTATGTTCTTTTTTATGTTTGTATATAGCAAGGATATATTAGAGATTTACAAAAAATTTCTAGGAAAGCTTAAACGAATCCAACATCTTAATTAATTTTATGGGTAATTTAATTATTATTTTCTAGGGTAACACCAAATATGTTAACTAATTTTCCTTGCAAAGTTATTCCCATCAAATGCATTCCTTGGAAATACTTTCCCAGGAAATTAATTGATGGGAAAGTAACAAACGCCCTCTAAGAGTTTTTGTGCATCATAGAATATAAGTCTCATATATGTAAGAATTTTATTTATGATATGTAATAAGGAAATAAATTTGAAATGAGATTTGTTACTAAAAACACTTGTATTCATTTCGGAACTAAAGAAATGCTTAAATATTTTCAGAAACAATGGAAATAGTTCCAAAATAAATTATATCATATACATATACCAGTTTAGGGAGAGAACTTGTACCTGGATTTATACTGCTTAATTATCCTTAGTGAGAAAACTTTCCTCTATTTTCTTCCGATTCCAAACTTACTGTTGTTTCTTGAACTTATCATGTTCTTTCTGATTTTTGTTTCTGAAGAGACATGAAGAGAGGGTTATCATCATCAGTTCGAAAGACAATGATGGCACATTTTGTGATGCTGAGAGTGCCCTTCATCAAATTGTGACATTAATTCTAAAGGTATCATGGTCTGGGTGCAGAAGAATTATCACTATTTTTCTCAAGCCCAAAGTGCCTGCTTGCATGAGATATTGTTCCCTGCTAAAATTCTTTTGTTTATTTCCTCTATCTATCTTTATGCATGTATGTATGTGTGTGTGTGTGTGTGTGTGTGTGTATTATGTATGTATATACGAAGAATGTATATGTAGATAGTGGAAAATGAAAACTCTGATATCTTATATTTATCTTGTATCAAGTTCATTTTTTTTGTATGTTATATTCCTTTTCTCTCAAGTATGGCCCGCTGAAGTGGTTCTGGTGTTTTTTCAACATTGATGTCGTACTTTTTTAGCGGGAAAAGTTGCTGGTGCTATAATTATATCTGATATATTCCTTACTTCCTTTAGGATGATGAGAGCAACATTGAAGCAATGAAAGCTGGTGCTGGGCATGTGCCAGCAAATTCAGTAAGGTTTTTGATTGCTGGTTCTCAAGCAGGTGGTTTGATTGGGGTGTCTGGCCAAAATATTGAGAATTTGAGGATTTCTTCCGGGGCTACTGTTACGGTTCTCGCTCAACACCAGTTGCCACTTTGTGCATCTGCCCATGAGTCTGATCGTGTGGTGCAAGTAAGAAAAATCTTGTTCTAGGTGTCAAATGATCCAAAGAAACAGACGACTTTACCTTCCTTGCTGAATTAAAATTTTCTTTGTATTGTTTTCCCAATCAGTTAACTATACATGAGAAAAAAAATAAGATATTATCTGCTAAAATTATGTTGTGTACAAACAGTTAGGTTGGAAAGTCTGTTAACAATTCTTAAATGAGAGTTTCATCATGCATCAATAGAAATATGACTGTGTATGGATGTATGGGCTGAATGATTTGTTATGTACATTAAAGCACAACTTTTTTGTTAGACTATTACTGATACAACTGTTAGTCTTGAATTCTGCAGCACATGATCTCCATCATCTTGTAAAAACATTTTAATCAGTAAAATTTGTATTTGGGAAGGCATCTAGTTCTTTTGCACTATTTTTTTTTTTTTTTTTTCGTGCTTTTAGATTTCATGTGTTTCTCCTTGCTTTTTGTTAAGCTACTATATTCAGTACTGTGGTCAGCATGCAGCGTGAAATGGAATTCTGTTTGTACCAAAAGTACTATGTTGGTAATTCATTGCAGAACTACCGAGGATGAAATTGATTTTCATTTTACATTCATTATCATAGTTTGGTTGCCTTAATGTCTGAAGGGAGAATGGTCAAGAAAATGTTCCTGATAATTTTCAATGATTTTAAATTGCGGACTTTATTGGGTTCTTCCATTTATCAAACTTCACTTAATATGAGATGTCCTTTTTTTTTTTTTTTTTTTTTTTGTTTTGTTTTGTTTTGTTTTTATTAGTTTTTTTGGGAGGTGGGGGGTTTTGGGTTTAAAATAAACATAAAGGGTGCAGTTTGTGGCGTAACATACATGCTTGGGATTCTGGTGCATTATTGAGGTCAAATGATTTGTGCTAGCTGATCAATTAAGTAACTTGTATCACTAGAATGAACTGGAGTGGTGATATTGACTTATCATTTTGGGTTGTCTAATTGCAGGTTTCTGGAGATATTCCTGCAGTCCTGAGAGCAGTAGTGGAGATTGGTTGTCAACTGAGGTTTTACAAAATATTTTGATTACATTGGAGAGCTTAAATTTACTAGTTATTTTAAATGTTTTGTTTCCTAATTCTGCATCAATTTTTTATTGCACAGGGATAACCCTCCTAGACAAGTAATCACTATAAGCCCAACATATAATCTTGGCTTTAATCGCCCTCTTCATCAATATGTTGATCCAAATTCAGGTTATTAATTCCTTCTTCTTTTCTTCTCCTTCTGAACTTTCAAACTGCTGCCTTGTGCTGCTGTATGAAATCTTGATATATTTCTCATAACGACATCATCTTTAGGACAACCACTCTTGCAGCTGAATATGTAAATGCGACTATGTTGATTCCGGAGGCATTGGCTGGTGGCCTGATAGGGAGGTGTGGCTCCAACATTTCCAGGATCAGAACTGAATCTGGAGCAACAATTAAGGTGTGTAGGTATCTTCCTTAGATTACTACTCTGTACATAGTTATTGCTCTTACAGTGCTTCTTGGGATTAAATTTGTGGTAGGTGATCATTCCTCACCTTTCTCAATCTTCTGGGTATCAACTTTAGCCATTGTTGTTTGAATTTATTTAGTTAGCATGCCTTGTCTTATACAGGTTTATGGTGGGAAAGGTGAACAAAAGCAAAGACAAATCCATCTTGGCGGTAGTGCACAACAGGTCAAACTAATGGATTCAATCATATCCTTTTTTCATGATTTTGATTCTTTGATGTCTTATTAACACAATTGCTTCACTGACATATATAGCATTTGACTTTCTGAGAGATTTTTTTGAGACTATATTTGCTTCCCAGACTAGGAAACATTTTTAGAAATGTAATTGATTGCTTGTTTGGCCCAGCATGTGTTTTCAAAAAGGAGGCATTTTGTCCAATCATTATTGTGTGGACCATGGTCCACACAAGTTGTATGGACCATATTTTGTATACTATAAAATAATGTACATTCAGTACAAAAATAATGTACATTCAATATAAAAATAATGTACATTATATTCAGGGGATGTACATTATTTGTATACTGAGTGTACATTATATTATATAATGTACATTCAGTACAAAAATAATGTACATTTAGTATATTAAGAATGTACTTTTTGTAATGGTCCATACAAAATTGTGTGCACCATGGTCCATACAATAATTTGCCAGCAAACACATAGAAAATTGCAATGTTTTAGAAGATCATATCATAATTCTGTAAGCATCTTTCTTCTTCCACAGGTTGCCCTGGCAAAGCAAAGGATTGATGAATATGTATATTCCCAGCTGATGCTGCAAACTGGTGGCCAGCAGCTTCAAGAAACAGTGCAGCTACAGCAATCATTACAGTTGCAACAGACAATGCAGCTACAACAGCCAATGTAACTTTGCATACTTATGTATTTGTGCTGGTCATACATTGTCTGACAAATGTATAGTAGCTGTTTTTGACTTTGACTAATAAGTTTAGTACATATTTCAGACCCGATGCATCTGCTTCTCTGTTGCAAGGATATACTCAAGGGCACGGGCTTTATGTTAACAGGTAAGTGCAATATTGCTCTCAGGTTGTGATAGGCACTCACGAATTCCCAAACATTACTCTTTTGTCAATAGCATTTGAACGTCTTACGAGTCTGCTTTCACTTTTGGTTACGTTATTTTACTTGTGGTGGTCCGTGGTCTAATGAATTAACGGGAAAATCTCGTGTGTAGTAATCAAGGAGGTGCTATGATGGCATCCTACCCACAAGTCTACTCATCAACCGCAGCCAATCAAGCTCCCGCCTATTATGGTCAGTCATATTATCCCGCCCCTCCAATTTAGGCATGGCCATGAGTGTTGCTCTTTAACACCTTCCGCTTTAATCACATGATGGATGTACAAATAGTGAGTTATGCGGTGCTGAAATTACTCTTCCTATGAACTGTGATGTAGCTTTTGTATTTTAACGATTGATTTTGATTTTACTTGGTAAAACGTCGTAGGACATAGCCTCTATTGCCTTGCCTCCTTGTTGAAATGTTGAGAATTAAGTTATTTTCTAGGTTTTCAAATCTCTTAAACAGTTTGGTCATATCATCCAAGTGAAGTGTATGGTAGGCCTGCGAGTACTTTATTTAGATAAGATAGCCATGTTTGTATCAGTGCTTGGATTATTATAATTTTAGTGGGAAAATTTTCATATTGATGTAAATGACCAAACTGGGGCTGAGAAATCTCTGAAATTTCTCCCAAATTGTTGAATCAGCTTGCTGCTATAATATACCTAATAAGTTTCAATCAAAGTTATATCCCTAATTTATGTTTATGTTTTTAATGCTAATTATTTTGTACATTGTGCTTTTAGAGTTGTACTATATATATTTTTAGACAAAAAAAAAAATACCCCTTCCGTATATATTTTCTTATTTAATGATAATAATATTTGTAGACATTATATATTAGATAAATATAATAAATAAATTTGATTTCATATAGATTTTAGTTAGTATGGATTTTTAGTTATTTTTAAAATTATTAATATTGGACATATGTTTTTGCGCATCGCGCATAGAAAAGACTTGTAATAATATATAAACACTCTATAATGCTTATTTCTTTTTCAGGCATGGAATAATATTTTTGAAAATGAAATTTTGAAATAATAATAATGGTGATGATGTTGAAATTATATGTTATACATTTAAAATTAATTATTATTTTGTTTAGTACTTTTCTTTTCATTGATTACATATCATTAATAAAGTACACAACATTACTATTCATCCTCTAATATGAAAAGGGGGTAGCAGTGTCATTAATTTGTCCGTCCAAATAAAGTACGCAATGCGATGGATTGCACGCGGGACATAATAAAAAACACTCCCCTGGAACATCACCCCTTGCATGCATGTATTTCCTGGGCTTCAGGTTGTGTTGTACGAACACCAATCTATGTTGACTAAGAATCAAGTTATAATAATAATAATAATAATAATAATAATAATAGATGACTGACCCACCAGCTTGATTGACGTGAGTGACTGTGTACCAATCTGGTCAGCATTTTATCTCTTAATTGTGTTGACCCAGTGCGAACGAGAATTAGTCTGAGTATAGTATGTGCTTAAAAGTGACTCCTATAGTCTGCTCAAGACACATCGTGGTCTGACCAAAATAATAGATGATTAACCCATGGAGGAATGGATTATAATCATATGGTAACTTATTCATGTAAGTAGAAAGATGATGCGGAGAAGAAAGAGTGACAAAATGCGAAGCATACAAGTGCTTAAACAATGTCCAAGAAGAAGAAGAAGAATGTATGGTAATTGTGTCATGAGTTGCACATTGTGCCTTAGTAATTGTGTCATGGTGGACAACTGTTTGTCACTTTTGACAAAATTGATTTTTTTTTTCTCCTTTAGGTTTTATTTTGCCGATGTGGAAGAAGAAAACTCTTTTAGTATGGTAGATGCTCTAGGGTACGTGATTGTATTTAAGCTTAATGCAAGTGAGATGGAGGTTTAATTTGAGTGATACAATTAACACACATTCCACTAGGGCACATTAAAGTGGTTAACAACTCTTCACTACTTTTTCAACAATGCTAGACTTTTTTTTTTTTTTTTTTTAATACAACAATGCTGACTTATTTTATCTGTTTTATTTTTTATTATGTGGATAAAGAAATCTCTTTCAACATCGTAGATATTCAAAGATAAGTGATCTATTTTGCATGCAGGTGAGATGGAGGTTTAATATGAGTGATATGCATGGTGCAATCTTAACCTCGTACTCTATCTACAACTCTAGAAGCTAAGGATTTGGATAAGATATTAAGGTGCATATAGTTTTGTGGTTGAAAAGAAATTCAGAAAATTCATGGGGGGCAAACCGCCAATGTTAACATCTTTCCATTGGTGGCCTGGCCTATACATACAAATTACTACATACATACATGGATAATGGATTCAAATATATTTGTTGATTATATATACATTTATACCTAACTTTCAAAGGGACCACGTTACCCTTTGATCCATTTTCCATATGGGAAATTGGTACACATATATTTTCCGTGATAAAAATATCATCTGATGTTGATGTGTTATATTTGATTGGTTGTCAAATTATGAGGTATTTTGATTACAATCAATCAATTATAATGTGTCAAGTCAAGTGAAATTTTACAATAGAAAATGTTACATGACTCCCATTTTGTACTCTCAACTTGTACTCTAAACACACAAAATCATGATGTAGACACTTGTATTGGGACCCACATGAAAAAATAACTTATCAGAATCCGCCACATAGAGAGTAAGATTATGGAGTATATGTAGTAGAACTCTTTTAGTATTGAAGTTTATAGAATGTTACTCTTTTATATGTCAAGTTATGTAGGTTGATAAGCAATGTTAATTAATTAAAAGTGCATTTCAAAATTTTAAATTCTCTAATCACTGTTTTTCGAGCAGTCAAATCAAAATACTCTCAGAATTGAAAATTAAATAATGGTGAGCTGCTATTGTCGGCTCTCTAAGAAATTAAATAATAGTGAGTTGTTGTTACTCTCTTGTTTTAATGTATTTTTAAAAAATATGTTGTTATTTTTCATCTCTTTCCGATTTCCATGCCAGACATATAGCTTGACTTATTTTGTTACTCTTAACCTACAACAAGATACACGGAAACATCAATTCAGAATTATTATTATTATTATTTTCGCTCAATTAGATATTAGACATCTAAAATGTATCTCAAATGGACTCATAAATACATTTCCTTTTAAGAAACATGTCTTTTAAATCAATACCCCATCAATTGGTGTTGTTTACGTTTCTAGTGTACATGAGTATAATTTACTCAATTTAAATTTTCACGTTAGTTATCACCCAAGAAAAATAAAAATGAATGTGATTTAATTAATATCACAACCAAATAGCAATACAATTATGCATGTCCTAAATTAGTAAAAAAGTATGAGGGAATACAACAACTCCTTTTAAAAAAAAGTTCCAAAAATATTGTTAATTCTTACATACACAAATATAATCATGTCCTCATGATTGTGACAACGGACAAACATATTCATGAACGGAGCTTTCCGATCCACCATTGCCACATCATTTATGAATATATTTATTAATTACAAAAAAGGGCTACTGCTTTCACATCAATCAACTTATGATTTCGAATTGGAATATATTATTGTTCGGATTTTCTTTTTTATTAAGAAAATAAAAATTTAAAGTTTTGTGAGCCATAATACACATGAATTAACTTCTTCTTTTTTGGATGCTTGTCAACAACGTCTCCACTGAAGCTCGATCTCATGACCTCCCACATGGGAGAGATTACTGCATGCCTGCCTCTGAGTACAAAGTGCTAAGCTGCATTTTTTTTTTTTTTTTTGGGGGTTCATCTATGATGAAAAAATTAAGAAGGGAACCAAATCGCCTATATCATAGTTCGCCTCATCTAGGTACCCAAAGTATCAAGGCAACGTTGGTCCCCAAATTGTTGCGAACAATTAAGCATAATAGTCATTTTCTAAAAACATGATACTTTTGAGATTTCCTTACTCGACAGGATCATCTTCCCTAATCAACTATAAGTGAATTAAAGATCTCCTGTAAATCATGTTTGAGTGGGTCTTGATTGCTTTGAACGTCGCCTTTGAGTTCAATTTTACGGTCACCCTACACCCTTACTGAACCATTTATCCATTACCATTCACCACTAAGTCCCTCTCAAAAGTCAAAATTCAGTTAAAAATTTATTAATGAACTCAATTTTTACTATTTCATTACAAGATTATAATGCACGTCAGTCAAATTATACTAAAAATTAAATCCAATTAATTCCCTAGCTAGTCTCACCTATTATAAATTTATATATCTTCCTTTCTAACTTTTTTTAAAAAATTTTAAATGTGTGATTCTTAGCATTTTTTGTTCCTATTTTTGTTTTTGTCCATAGTGAAGTTATATATAATTAAATACGATGTAGATGGGGGAGTATGGTGGGGCAAAACTCACGTGAAATTCACGTGGAGGCAACCTAAGAGAATGTTAAGTGATTGTTGGATGAAACAGTGAACCCAATTATTGAAAGAGGCAGTTGGGGCCACCGACCACGTGGTTGAAAGACACTTGACATCCCCCAACCTCTTTTACCTTTCACAAGATGGTCAACATCATTCTAATCATTATCATTTTATTTTATTTTATTTTATAACCCATAGTTTCCCACCCTGGTCATGAAGAGGTAAATCGAATTAATGTAGTTTTGAGATTAACACTAAATTGTACATTTATACGCACAAAAAAACATATTACGAACCTAAACTCCTGGTGTTTGTTTAGTTAACTGTAATTTACCTGTAGTTGAATTGGAATTCAATGGAGGCTTCGATTACATTGTTTGGTTGTAGTGAATTGCAATTCCACAGAACTGCAATTCAATGGATGTAAGAAAAGAAAAATAAATGAAATGACACTACTATCCCTGATTATTATTACTATTATTATTATTACACAAGGGTATTTTAGTCTTTATACTAATTTTTTTTTCAATTCCAATAATTCTATTTATCTTTACCAAACAATGTAAATTGAATTCCTACTTTATTCTCACCTTATTCTTTTTCTATCGAATTACAATTCCTTTCTCCCTTAATTCCGTCATTCTAACCAAACACCCTGCTAATGTTTGTGACAGAGATAAAACTCCTACCTTATTGCTGGAAGTAAGTCCGTCTCAACGACTAGACTAATGTCATGTAGGCAATTTTTCTTTATTTCCATTCTTCTAATCAAAACCATACAAATGTTACTTATAATGTTTCATTATTCAATCTTTTCACAAACATTAAATAATATAACTTACAATAGATATCACGACACTTTTTTGTCTTTGAGTTATAGAGCAGTTTAACTTGACAAAAAAAAAAAAAAATTAAATAATAAGCTACGTACTAGAGTTAGCCTCTTAGACCCGAGATGAGTTCATTGAAATCTAAGAACACTTCATTAATCAACTTGCAAGGTGCTTTTGTGCTTAGGTCTTACAATACCTAACTTGTACCAAAATAACCAATAAATATTCTTCATACTCTATCTCTAATCTCTATGTTTATAAACACTAGTCATTTAGTAATAAAAATAAATTATTTGTTCAATATACTAATTCAACCATTAAAATAAATAG